CTGGTTACCTGAGCGGGAGCTCGTCAATCGAAACATATTTTTTGCTAGTGGCTCGTTCGTTATCTGAAATGCTCGTAGATGGGACAGCTCGTCACCCGAGGCCCCACTGTAATTTCATATACTGTGGGAGGGCAACAAATTATTTCTGCTGTGGTCTGGTGTCGATTATACTTCGAAATGCGTTCATTTCTGTAAGCAGCAAACAGCAACGTACCCAGTTTCGAGAGACTGGTTAGACGGTGCACGAGGAACCATGACTGTTGCCATTTCAACTGATGATGCAGGATGCTCAGTGAGAACAGCGTACTCTCGTGTTGTTGTGTGACTGTCCTGAGATACAGGAGTTAATTGTTTGTCCCCAGATGCGCCATTGGTCAAACCGCCACCGCTTGTGACTGCAGGTGCTGGTGGGTCATGTTTGCCATCAATCTCGGAGCAGCCAATGCAGTAGGTCTGGCCTTCTCGGTCCATTAGGAGGATTGTCTAAACAGGTGAAGAGATGACACTATGAGAGGCCATTGTGACCACTTAAAGGCTGCATTAATAAATTAAGAAGTAAGTAGTTAATGAGGGTTCTCACAGTTGTGACTTTGTAGAACCTAAACTCTACAGAACACTGACTGGGACTGAAACGGCTCATTTTAATGTATTCTTACCTCCAATCGTTTTAACATTGTTATCGGAACACTGCGTATGCGGAGGGAGCTTAGTCATTTAAATTCCAAATAAGTCGAATTTACTATCACGAAACTCGTGAACAAGTCCCACATGGGGCAGCGGTAACCTATCATGTTCAAGTGTGTGTATATAAGCAGCATACTTCATGTTCCTATTGACAGAAAAAAGGGGTTATGGTGACCCCTACCGCTGGAAAATATTCCACGCGCGACAATGTGCTTATACGCCGGCGTGCAACTTAACAAATGTGAAACATAGTATTTCGAAGTCACCGACATACTTCAGCAGCAGCAATAAACAACAGCAATTACGCTCTGCACCACAAACGTGGCTGTGCCCACACTGCATACTAAGGGTTGAAACACACAGCAGTACGCTAGTAGACAGAATATCTGAACGACTATCGCCTCAAGACGTCTTCAAAGTCCGTGGATACCTCAGTTATTTTATTATGAAACAGACGGCGGCCAAAGGAGCAGCAAGCCGAAGTCAGGAGGGTCATTGCTGGTATGAAAAACACCTTAGAGGCAGTCTATCGACTAGTATAGCCCGTTAGAGTAGGTATAATTCATCAACCTCGGGCAACAAGTTGTCACCGTTTCGTTTAACCTAGGGAGGCGCTAGCACCCACTGAAATCTCGGAGATTGCTTACAAAAAATTGCAACGGTTGAGATTGTAACTACATCGGAGAAACCATGTGGAA